TGTAACCATGGTAACCAGCTGATCAATATTTCTGTACCAGCTGATCTCCATCAAATGATTATCAGCTGGTTACCATGGGTACAAGGTTAAAAAAAATGCATCTTCCATTTTTCAAAAATAAACGACTCTAAAACAAAAGTAAACAACTGAGAAACAATCGTACATTTACCAAGCGATTTTCAACGAGCCAAGTCCAAACTGCCTCGTTCTTGTTGGTAAATTATAATCCAGAGATTTTCAAGTCCGATTCAACAAACATCATGTCGTCACACGATAACCGGGTAAGTAAAACCAACATTTTCTTTAAAACTTTTACTTTTCTGTTTGTTTTAAAACTACTTCTGCAAACTTTCTATTATTCTAGCCAATAATCTTCAAATTGTGTCAAATACTTGTGGGTTTTAGATGTTTTGCTGCTTTTAGCAAGCAATTTGCCACTGTTAGCTTGGATTTAGCGTTGTGCTAACGTTAGCTTTAGTAGCATTTTGATACTTTTTGCTTTTAGCTAGCTGTTGATTACTTTTGACTTCTAGTTGACTTTTTGACATTTTATATTCTTCTAAGCCGTTTGTTGCTTAAACTATTTTATGTTTTTATATGTTTTGCTGTTTTTAACATTTAACAAGCATTTTGCCACTGCTAGCTTGAAATTAGCATTGTGCTAACGTTAGCTTTGAAGTAGCATTTGGGACTTTCACTCATGACGCCACACATATCATTTGCAACATTATCTGCTGCAAAATGATCGGACAATCGGAGTGGATTCTCCGGAGATTCAGAGTTAATATCCTGAGTCAGTGTTGAGTACTGTAGCAGGATGTTTTGTGGTCCTCCCGGTGGAGTTTCATGCTGTTTTCCTGAGTTTATTTAAGTTTAAACGGAGCTAAATCAGCTCAGCTCCATTGAAATCACGAGACCGAGCATCAGTGTCGGGCGGACAGAGTCACGTGACTCTAAAAACAGCCCTAGTGAAGGTGCTTTTTGACATTAGCTCTTCATAAGCCATTTGTTGCTTCACATGTGGGTTTTAGCTCATGTTCTGCTACATTTAGCAGATTTGCCACCAACTTTGAACTAGCATTTTGCTACTTTTTGCTTTTAGCTAGCTTTTTACTTTTTAAACTAGTTAGCTTTTTGACTTTATCTACTTTGAGGCCATTTTTTTGCTTCAACTACTTTTGGGTTTTAGATKATCTGTTGCTGATTTTATCTACTATTTTCATACTTTCAAACTAGCATTGTGTTACTTTTTGCTTTGAGCTAGCAGTTTGAAAGTTTGCAGAGAGCTACTTTGCTGAAAACATCTCAACTAACTTTATAAAATGTTTGAATCT